GCAGGAATCTCTCCACTAGAAGTAAAATTTGTCAAGTATATTAATTTTTTGAATTATGGAAGCAGGTAAAGATCCATTCAAATGTGGTTTAGAAGAGCTTGTTTTCTTAAGCACAGACAACAGCTCCTTGGGAGCTTTCTTTCAAGTATTTTTTTTTAAGTACATTTCAAGTTCTTCCAAACGAAAACACTGAAAATCATTAGCAGCACAGACCAGTAATTCAGAGAAGTGCTCTTCAACGACAGCTGAGTACCAGCGTTACAAAATGTTCAGCGGGTGCCTGCTGCCCCCTTCAGCCATTCCCAGTACTGCAGAAAAAGAATTCTTTAGCCAGGCACTAACAGCATCCCGTTCTTTTGCACTATTTTTTGAGTGGGGAGAGGGGAAGAACCCTAAGAAAGATATTGCTAAGTAGATAGTCGGTGAACGTGTTTGTGTATCATCAAAGGATTCTGTCGTGTTAGAAATGCACAGTAATGCAATTATCTTAATGAGTAAGACAAACCATACTTCAAGTTACATCTTTAGCTGTTAGATCAGCTGAAGGCACAACTGAGGGAAAAAAGATCTTGGAGCAAGGGCTGAAGACTGGGCTGGGGAAAACCTGGAAATCAATTCAAGCTTCCAGAGGACATTTATATAGTTGTGGTTAAGTGTTTCCAACTCTGTGATTCAGGACATAATTTGTTCTGCAAACGAAGAACTATCTCTCCTTTTATCTTCCTTTTACTTCAGAAAAAGCTTTTGTAGCACTATCAAGGCCAGATTGGCGGAAGGTCTTCCTTACTCAATCCGCAGATGGGGGATAACCCAACTGGATTTTATATGCCTAAATACACCTGTGTGTATATGCAGTGCTGTGCATATACATGTATATATTTGTGTGTATATATATATATGTGTGTGTGTGTGTGTGTTCAACAGCTCCCTAATCTCAACTGAAATTAAGTACTCCCTTTAAAAAGAAGACACCACAACAGCTTGGTGAAAATGTAGACCGAGTTAGTATGCTAACAAGGACTACTGTAGATAGAAAATCCAATCATACCATAAAGTTAATATTTCATGCTTGGGATGTAATGTGGCACTTTTCTTTTTAGCTTGCCTGAGAAGGTTTTTTGAAAGTAGATGAAAAGAGAAGATTTAAAAGAACATTATTTTATGAATTGAGTGGGTTTTTTCTGTGGGGAGAGAGAGAAACAAATTAATCTTCTGAAAACTTACTTTGTATCCACCTCCCACTAACACAACCTGCTAAGGTAACAGCAAATATAAATACCAGGCTTTCATATGGTGGTACCGCTTTATTATTTCCTCACACGCAATTTAAGCAAAATGGTTAAGGAAGAACAGCAATACAGATTTGATGGTGCACTTCATTCCATCTACCTCATAACATAAAGGTTCCCAAAGAGAAAACTTAAATTTTTCATGCTCATAACTTTTTTCAAAAGGAAAGCATGTATCAGTATTTTTTCCAGACTAGAATAGTTATTTTGTACTTCGGTGAATCTGAATTTTCAAAGCTTCTCATCGAAGCTCCCAAATACATACAACATATTCTATTTGCTGTCCTGTCTGTACTCATTTTGCTGCTACTAGTAAAAAAAAACCCAAAAGAAAAACCCAAAAGAAAAGTGTTTTTTGATGTCACAGGTTCTCAACACACCAAGGAAAAACTTGACATCATCCTTGAAGTGAAATCACTCAGATGTGACAGAAGGCTCCTCCTGTTCACATGCATATTATACATCCACTGAAATGTAGTGCTGTACATCATTGAGGTATGTTGAGTTTTGCTTTTATCAACTTGCTGCTTTTTTTTTTTTTTAAACCCTATAAATTTGGGTTTATCATTCCCATTCCTTGGCACTCAATGATGTAGGTATCTTTACTGGGATCTTCTTCTTCCGATTTTGTCACAGTAAATTTGGCCTAAAACAGGATTAGAAATATATCTTTAATTAAGTTATAACATACACAAGTTTAAATATTCAGTCCCATAGTCATGTTGCCATGTGTTTATGTGTATTATAGCTTTGACTGATTTCATGAAAAACCATTTAAATAAAAGTGGTAAAAGTATCTAACCATTCTAAAGGCATTTAACTCTAAACTATGTTCACTTTCTACATGTAAACTTCCACATAAATATCGTAGCAATTATTTTGTCAGTGCTTGTCCTTCATGATCAAGTTCTGTTCACAATGCCTGCTAAACTTCACATTTCCTAGTTACTGGATGACAACTGATAGGTGAAACTTCCTGAAGTTTTGGACTCACCTTTGTTAGCTGCTCTGCAAAGTGTATAGCTGTTTGAGTATGAAGCGTAATTGGTCCACTTTTCACTCTAGACACCCCCTTTGCTAGCGCCATAAAAATGATGAGCTGAAAGGGAGGGAAAGGTAATAATTAAGTAACTCTTCAGATCCTAGGAGCTTATTGATTAAAACAAAACAAAAAATGCCCAAACAAAAAAATAAAAACTTGCAAAATGTCTGTAGATGTAAAAATGTGGTCTGCCAAGTTTCATAAGAGTTCATGGTGCTGAGTGTTAAAAGTGATCCATGACTGAAGAAGCTTGGAAATTGCTACTGTAACGCCTATTACAGAACGGCTGCTACTTTTCCACAGTGGAGTTTGGCACTGAATTTCTGTTATAACATTTAACTTTGCTCTCCTTCAACCCTCCGCCCAGACATTCCTCAAAGTCATGTCAGACTCCAATTGGTAATTACTTTTGCATGGAAAGAAAAAATCAGGAAGGTTTTTTTTTTTAATTATAACACTTTCTGTTCATGTATTCACCAGACAGATACTTAAAAATCTGATTTGATTTACAAACATCACCATGACAGGTACTCTGTAAAGCGCCATGGAACTCTGAGTAGTTCCCATACACACTGAATCTAGCTGTGGCATGTTTCCACCAATTGTACTGTGCATGTTTTGGAAAAAGTAGGATGAGTCCAAGACCTAAACACTTCCTATTATACTACATAATAGTAGCATGTGGCCAGGTGTTTACAGCTAAGAGGTAACATTATCATCTTATCTAGAACAGCCCAAGATTCTTATGAGGCTCCATTATTGAAAATAAGATAGCGCAGGGTGAAAGGTCTTCATTCTCAAATGAAACTAAGTGAGCAAGACAAACAGGAAAACCTCCTAGATACTCTGTTTTCTACTAGCTTCACTTAGTATCATTCTCAATATGTAACCAGGGAGCTATTTTTACTGCACTACATGGAGTGCCAAACAGAAGCCAATTCTTACTTCTGTCTTTCATACCTACTAAGATTTGCAGGAAGGGAAAATTTAAGTGTGTTGGTGCAAAGCCAGGAGCATTTGTGGTTCCTAAGAACAGTAGGTAATTTGCTAATACTAGTGATGTTGTGACCACAAGACTTCTAACTATCAATTAATTATGTAAAGCCATGCTTACCTGTGGAGATACAGCCTAACTTTGAAATCTACATCTCATTCTTTGCCTGTTCAGATTTACATTCTTTACAATAATACATACGTGCATGTTCTTGCTACTTCAACTTCATGTAAACCCATAGAGGAGCCTTACTTGGTCTTGCAGAGAATCATCCACAGTTCCACCATGTTTAAGATTCCTAAGCAGTATCTCTGCTGCTTCAATGCCAACCTTGTCAGAACTCTTTCCTACCAGAGAAATCCAGAAGATTAGCATGCTGCCAATTATTATTTAACATTTAAAAAATATAGAAGGAGGGAAAAAAAAATCAAGAAATTATCAACTTTTTAAAACTTTATTTCCATGCTCTTGCCTCAGATATCTGCTTAAAAAACCCTCCCATCTTATGATAACATACAGTTCATCTGTCTTAAGCAGTGGGAAGCAAGTAGCCCCACTTACAGTCAGAGAAATATTTTATTCAAACCATTTAAAACCAAAATAACTTCTATTCTATACACATCTAGACTCAGTGATGAAACTTCACAGGTAAACCACAAAGATTGTATGTTCTTAAAGTCCAGAAGCATTTTCCACTCAGTGATCTTTAACAATCCATTCTGATAAAAGGTAAGTTTAATGATTTTGTAATTTTTATCACTAGGCAGGAGCAGTTTAGAAGTATAAAGTGTAAGACTCCATTTACTAAGTTTAAAATCTGCTTATTTCCACTGCCCTGTTTTACTAAACAACATCCATTTAAAAATGCAAAACTCAAAGCATCAGATCTCTGACCAAGTTACACTTCAGATTCCTATTTGTTAATAGTACATTAAGTTAAATCTGAAAAAGGTATAGTTCATACAACTCTTACCTCTCTTGCCCAGTGATGACCCAGCTAACAAACAACCTGTTGAAGTCTCTGCAACAATGCTAAGCAGCAAAAACAGAATCAATATTAAGAACAAAAATCACTCTCATTACACTTTATTTATCAGATATGTAATCAAGGTCTAGCCAATCAACCAGCAAGGCTACAGGTATCAGTAGAAAGTTTGGGCTCATCTTACATTATTCCACTTCCAGTCCCAAAGGCTTGATCATCAGGTTCTCGAACAGGCTGAATGTTAATGTAAAGATCTCTGATTTCTTTTCTGATGCACCTCACTGCCGCTGCTGACATGTCTTTTGCCAGCTAACAAGATAAGAGGTAAACCCATTAATTAAATTATGTAACTATAGTAATACTTTTTCCTCATAAGTCTAATTATTACAGTGGATCCTTGAATAAAGGGGCTACTTTATCAACTAGAAAAACAGAAGATTGTTATAAAACCCCTATAAGCAAGCACCGAACATCATCTCTTCTGAGAATTTTCCCACAAATTTAAGGTAACATTAAATGCTGAACAAATGACAATTACAGTGCTATACGTAGGAGCTTCAGTATCAATAGAAATTAAAGAATTTTTCTCCAATCATAGAGAGAAAGATTTGATTTTAGTCTTGACTAGCTTAAGACATTAGATTGTTAAAATAAAACCACCACCACAATTATGAACAGGATGTACTCTACAAGATATAATACATAAAATAACAATTTTAAATTGCAGGCAGGTGGGGGCAGATGAAGCATTTTAGAAACATCCAAAATTCTATTCTACAGCCTGAATGACTGAAACCATTTAATAAAGCTACTTAGTTTGTATGTGAAAGACTGCAGAATACAGTAACAATAGAATTATGTTAAGCAGATTATGTCCAATTTTATATAGATATATGAAGTTGGATACTACCAGAGCTATTATCAGCACTTACTTTAATAGGCAGCGCTCCAGCAACAAATGCCCTTCCATATATCTTTGTCACCATGCCACGTTCTGTTAAGTTTATTGGGCTCAACTCTTTGACTGGTGACATTTGGACTACAACTTCACCACCTCCCTGAGGATAGTAGCCCCTATTTAGAAACAGTAATCAGATATAATTAAATGCAAAGATCACAAGGAAACCAAGAAGAGAACCAGAAGGCTCTTCATATATTTCATCATACATTTTTATGTTCTCTGTTACTGTACATAAGAATTTTGTCAATGTGTGCCTTAGAAAGCCTTACAATAGAATTATGTTCTCTTAACAGTATTACCTCATCACACACATCTTATTAATTACCTAACACCAACATAACTGGCACCTCAGAAAAAGCTCAGTAATGGAGTTGGAGTGCCTGTTCAGCATGTGCTTCCCTCGGAAGTTTTTCCACAGGAAACATTAAACAGCAGCTGAAGACTCAGCAATGAAAAAAGACAGGAAAGAACCCTATCACATTCATTGTATGGTGACACTACATGAAAGGGGCAGCTAATACAGATTAGTTCATTTATTATAAATTCAACCCTCAGCTTGATTCAGGGGACCTTGTTTGCGTGCCTCCATGCTCACACAGTGGTTCAGTAAAGGCCTGCCTCTGCCACATGTGTCCGTAACTCACCTCTTTTTTATGTCACAACTGAATGTGAAATTGAACTTTTCAACTATTGGCTTGAAAACCTGAAAAACAAGGATACATTAAAAAATTAAGGTGACTCTATTTTGCATTTATAATGTCCTATTATTTTATAGTCTTCAATTAAAGAAGTTCAATACAAAAATTTTAGTTACATTATTAAAAAAGATAGCCAGTCTCATCCAGACAGTTTCTTTGACATTCCTCATACTTCACGCTGAATGACACTTTGTGTAAAAGGATTTTCTTATGGAAAGAGAAAGATGAAGTCTTAACAATTCACAGCACTTCTAGAATAAAGTTTTATTTTAAGTGAAATTTTCTTTAGCAGTTAAAAGCAAACAGACTAGTTGCTGTTTCAGGGAATTTCATGAAACACTGGTTGCTCTCTACAGATAGTACACTAATAGTGTAATATGCCTATGTCTAATTCCCCAATTACAAATAAACTTGCAATAAGAGCAACAGAAGTACAGTAGTTACATTGCACATATATGCATGAAAGACGCACCAAGCCAAAGAAATTTTTCCCTACCATGACTGTGTAGTCTATCTGAGGAGCCATCTCAGCATTAGTCCCACCTTTTAAATGAAGTTCTGATGGGGAAGCAGCAAACAGCACACAGGGCATTGCTACCTGCATCAGTAGACACACACTCCTAAAAGCAATTATAAGATACTCAAACGTCATGCAGTCATAATCCATAGAATTCCACAGACTCATTACATATCAAAGGCAAATAACTTTCCAGAGCATTTACATAAGTATTTGATTTTGAACATTACCTATAAACTTACTAGTCTTTAAAATACTGATTAAAAACTTCATGTCCTTAGCAAGCCTAAATATGAAGGTTTTTGTTCCACAGCAATTGCATCTTTAATATTCCTGTTTGAAATAAAAGTAATGTAGCTGACAGTATACTGATGGGACTGTGAAAACTGTTAAGTTTAGCTAGTAGATGATAAAAGCAGAAAAGGCTTAGGCAATAATTTTAACATTTTAATACTTGTTTAATAGCAAAATATTTAGAAAACTACGAAATTGCTTAGAAGCTGGTCAGCATCCCACACAAGAAAATTCAGGAGCATAGAAAATACACTTTAGATACAAGATTCCCCTATCATTGAATCCCTCTACATTTCATACATAATAAAAAAACCTCCAAAATAAATTTTCCAGAAGTAAATTTGTTCAGCAAAATATAACAGTTATGTCACAAATGATTCAACATCATTTTGAATTGTGAAAACAGTAATCACCACTGAACTGATGAAAACATGTTTTTGTTTTCTAAATAACTTCCAAATGTTTGTGAACCATACCGTTTCTCTTTTTTTGTTTTTTGTTTTTTGTTTTTTTTTTCTTGTGCTTAATTACCAATTCTGCTGCATTGTCGCTTACTCAAGCCTTCCGTGTTAAGTAAAATGCATCAGCTTGGTCATTTATACTATGGCAACTTGGAAAAAATTTTCTCTTAAATGAAAGGAAACTTTAACTTATGCCTAAGATAGCTTATGCTTCCAAACAACTGTTCACATCAGCCTTCTGTAGCTAAACTCATTTATTAGTTTTGCAACAGATCCAAGAACAAAGGACCCAACACAGAAATACAGGATAGAAGAAACATAGGAACAAAGAACCATGGATAGAACGTTCTCCCAGTTCCAAAAGACTAGTATCCAGTATTGTACCATTACGTGCATAAGTAAAATATCAAAATTTACTTTTTTACATGATGAGGATTATTTCAGATACCACAGATTTGAGATATTTACCTAATTTGATGCATTTGACCTGATATGTAATATACTAATGTGAGAAAATAATGGATAAAGTTTTAAATACATGGGCAGCTGTTTTTTGCTTAACATTAATTCAGTGTTAAACTTACATATCAATTATAATTTTAAAACTATTACACTTGCACGTACTTTATTCATACATATCCTGCCTACACTCAAGTTTCTTTGGTCACATATTCCTGGCTCAGGCAGCACAGATTTTGGCTCATTACCCATGTAGTAATGTTCTTTTTTTCCAACGCTCTTGTGTGATGATTTTAAAGCTACCAAAATGCCTTCTGTCATAATTTTAAAGTTACCAAAAGCAGTTAAGAGCAGTTACTGATCAGTCATTATCCACGTACAAAGACATACCCTGCTGTTTTTGTATCTGCTATGTGGGTTCCACCTCTGATCTTCCCAGGAGTGAAAGTTATTTCTGTTGAGCCAATTTCTCCGCCTTCCAGCCTCCCCTCACATAGATCTCGAATGATCTCCAATCCAGACAGATGCTGAGGCCTTGGAGTGACAATACAAAGTTAAAGACATGTGCAAGTAGGCTACATACGTTACATTAAAAGAACTACTAAACACCAACTAATAAATACTACCAATTGCAAAAAAACCTAATAAATACTACAGTAGATCCAACATGGATCAGAAATTCGATCTGGTTCCTGCAGTGCTTCTGCTGAGTTCACAGGAGCCAAAGGAGCAACATTCAGGCCATTCTGGAATTTGCAGGATTCTGATGTGTTTTCCATTAGAATGGGTCCAGACAGACAGATGAGATGCAGTAGCAGTCGCTTGTCCTAATGTGATAAACGCTTGGGCAAAAATGCAAGGGGATAACGATGGCAACACTGAACTGCAGCAAAGCCAGTAAGTGGCTGGCAGAGCCACAACAGAGCTAACAGTTTTGTTATGTATCTGTCTTGCTGTGCTTGCATTTCCATTTGAGTAATTTAGACAGGAAAGAAACAACCTGTTCTTAACGCTATGCGCTCCGAGAACCACGTTTTGCTGCGGCGTTTCACCCCGAGCAGCCTGCTTAGCGCCCTTGAGAACGTCCGCCCCGGCCGCCGGCCCGGGCCCGGGGCGGGAACTGCGCTGAGGGGAGCGCGCGAAGGCGTCCGAACTCCCTC